CCAGCACGCAAAGCCTCGGGACCCTGTTTGGCAGAGTGAGGATGGCAGGATCGTGCCCCCGCCGGCTCCTGTAGCGAAGGGTGACTTCACCGCGGCTCTCGGAGGTTTACGGTGCTCTGCGTTTGCAGTTCTGGCAGGGGCAGGGGTTAATTAAAATCCTCATTGAACCTAGAGAGGTCCAATGAGGGGGAACAAACACCTGCAGTCTCCTCCGGTCCCGACGTGCACTTGCCATCTTGACACAAGTAACCTGCCGCACGCCTCCTTTGCACAGGTGGGGCAAACGGGGGCCTTTAAAAGCACCGAGAACAGGGATCCTTTCCCTCCGGACCCAAACAGCCGAGAGCTTGGGCAAGATTTCAGCAGGCAGCACAGCCCAATCCTCTCCCTAAGACCCCGGGGAGCCATTTGCTCTTGCTCCAAGCCATTCAAGCTCCATTGAGGGAGAGCACACCTTGGCCATGCTTTTTCTATCCTGGCTGTAAGCAAGTCCAGAGATGAGAGCTTCCCCACAGCAGACACGTGGCACCGGGTTGGTGTTTCCACCTGCTGCTGTGCACCGGCCCATCTCCATCCTCTCCTGCTCCTGCCCCTCTCCATCCCCATAGCCCCCCATCCCAGCCCTCTGTCCATCTGTGCAGGTCTCAGACACGCGCAGAGGAGGGAACAAGCTGTGACCTGGAGCTAGCATCTAAGTGGGGACCGGGCGGAGGGAGGCGGGGGTCTGCAGCATGCAGCCCACCCCTTCTGCAGAGGGCTGCTCTTCCAGCCTCCTCTCCCCCAGAAGTGCAGGATGCCAGCACAAGGGCTTACTCAGATACTGGGAAAAGTCGAGCAAACTTTGCAAAGCTTGGGCTCTAAATGACGCAGTGCTGGGCAGAGCCTCACCCCCCCGGCAACTTCTGAGGAAGCAGAAAATTTATCTTTGCAAAGGGCTTCGCTCTCAGCAAAGTGAAGAGGCCTGTTTGACTCCTGGCCCGGCTTCCCCCACGAGCTGGTGCATGGGGAGCTGCGGCCCGGGCTGTGCATAGTCCTCCCTTGCCCGGAGCCTTATCTCTGCCTGGCTGCTGGGAGCTTGTGGCAGCTCTGCTGCAATAAGCTTCTCTCGAGCTGCTCCAAGTGCTCACCAGAGAGTCTGCTGCCATTAAACTGATTCAAACCCCCAATTTTAAGGGAAGACGGCGCCGCTTTCACGTCCCAGCATGAGTGTACCATTAGCAAGCCCTGGGGACAGCTGCCAACAGGTGTCTGGGAGCGATGTGCAGGCAGCTCCTCTCCCTTCCTCAGAGGCAAGGGGCTGAAGCACAGGGACTTTTGTCTCCCTCCTGCCCCTGGCATGGCTTTTTCCCATACAAATCATGCTTTACCACCCACCTGGCATCAAACCGCTCGAAACTGCCACGCTGCAGCTCTGACATCTAAACCTTGGCTTGATAAAGGGCTCCAGGCCTAGCACTCGCAACCACAACACCTCATTTTCATGTGGGACCTGCCTGAGGTCTCTAATGCCCGGGGCATCCCTAACGCATCCTTCTTTGCTCTCACAAAGCCTCAGTTAATATTTAATTCCTCTTACGGCAGCAGCATAGAGACGCAGACCTCGCCGTCGGCCCAGCATGAGGACGGGAGCCCTGTCCCGCAAGCCAGATGCAAGCAGAAGGCATCTTTGCTATTAAACTGTTGTGAAAGTCAGTGCCCACGATATGCTTTCTGCCCTGGATGGCTGGGAAAGTCAGTGAAGTCCATGGTGTAACTGAGGGTCCAAATCAGGTGTTCATTGCACCTGGGAAGGGCTCGCAGGGGGAGGAAAGTTGAGCCACAACCTGGTTAGAAACATCGTTTTGCCAGCAGACATCTGCAAAATGCAGCTCTGAGGCCATCTACCCCCTGTCTCAGCTGGTTTAAAAACACAGGAGCTCAGGGGGCTGCTTCTCTGTCGCCGTAGCTAGTAATGCCAGGGCGAACTGTGCCTACCCTGAGTTTGCACCAAAGTCAAGGGCTGCGCAATAAAGCGTCGGGGAATATCCGTTGTAGACGGGACCTGCACATGCGTGCTGGGCAGCGTGGCATGGGAAGGCAGAGGGGTGCTGCCTGGGGCGGGGGTGGTCTACAGGGGAGCCCTGTATTTGTGCCCCGGGGCCAGGCGTGGCATGACTCTGGGCAAAGCCATAGGCATTGCTTCCAAAGCGGTTGCTGCAATTTGGGGTGCCTCTGGTGAGACGATAGATTAAAAGGCTTTGCCTGGGAGAAATCCAACTTGTGTTTTTAGCCCTGGATACCAGTGGAACAAGGCCTATCCGAAGACCTCTGACTACATCACGTGCAAGGCAAGCGGGGGCAGGAGCGGCTGCACACCTGGTTTTCCCCATCCTAAAAACCCCTGATGCTGCTACAGCTCCAGAGCCCGCGCCCCAACGCACCGGGGGCCAAATTCGGACCCCACTTCTCTCATTACAAGAGCGTGGACTGCTGTGTCCCCAGGGCTTCCCCTTCTCCCAAAATCACCGGGTCGCAAGGGACCTTGCTGGCTACGCGGCTGGAGACTAACTGGGACTTTAAAAGGGAAAAGAAGTCTGTTTGGCTTCCCTCGCTCCCCCACCAGATCGCCCGATTAGTTTCCCAATCATTGCAGCTGCTCCCATGCGGGCAGGCTGGGGGCACGGAGCAGATTAGCATCAGTACATTTTTCTTTGCAGCCGAATCCAAACATCAGCACTTGTCCTAGCCCCGGGCATGCAGCCCTCGCTGCTCCAGCTGACGTATTTATCCCTATCACCATCCCATCTTGGCATTAAGAGGCTGGACCCCACCTTCACCGTCCCCGCCTGCCTTTCCAAAGCCAATTCTGCTCGGTCCTGCTTTTCCAGGCGAGCTTTGCTCCAAGCCGCAGGACCTGGAGGACCCAAACCTGCCAGCCCAGGACACAGACCTGCCAGGCCCAAAGGCCGTGGCTTGAGGCCAGACCGATGCTGCCAGGCTGGCTCACCCCTGCTCCAGCCCCAGCGCTGTGCAGATGCCGACATGGATGCAGCCTGGACCAGGCTCTGCAGGCTCGCTGGGACTGGAGAAGGTGTCCCGCTATGACAGGCACTAAGGCCTCTGTGCACCCGAGGCTGCCTTCCTTTAGGGGATTTACAGAGACTCCTGCTTTGCCTCTCAGAGTTTGTCTCCTCCTCCCCTCTGTAGCGCCGGCGGTCACGGGCACGTTGTGCATAGGCTGACATGGGAACAAGCTCAGCCCCTGCCCTGACATCTCTCCGAGGCAATCGTGAAGCATCCCTCTCGCCTCATCCAGCCCTTCGAAACCAGCTTCTCTGCATCAGCAACGGCCGTGCCCAGATAAAACAGCCACCTGTGCAGAACTACTCTCCCGCTGCTTGCAACGTGCGGGCACAGCAGACCCCCCAAGCCAGGCATCTCCAAACCCCTGCAAGGACGCAAAGACCCGAGCTGCTAGGCCCACCCTCCGCGAGCTTGGTAGGGAAAAGCAACGTGCATTGCTCAGAAGAGGAAAAGGACAGACAGACAATGGCTTTGGGACCTGTGGCCACTAAAATCGCTGGGGAGGACTCTCAAGTCATCTGCCACAACCCCATGTGCAGCGGGGCTGGACCCAATGATCCGTAAGGTCCCTTCCAGCTCCTAACATCTATGAAGTGAACCTAACCCCCCCGTTAGCCCAGGACTGACTCTCTCCCAGCCTGTTTTCTAAAGCAGCAGTGTTTTCCCTGGCTCCCAGGCCACATCCAGCCCATGTCATCCCCACAGGTCTGGAAATGTGCTGGCGGGGGGGCCATGGCAGCATGCACGGCCAGTCCCTTAAAGCCGGATCCCCAGACCTGCGGGCCAGGTGATGGGGGCCTGCAGGCTAGATCAGCATTAAGGGGGCAGGGAAGGAGGGCACGTTTTACATTGAAGAGAGCATTTTTTGGCCAGCTGAGTTTAAAGGGAGAAAGGGGAAAAGCAGCTGCTCTGAGATCTGAGGTGGGAGAACCAGCCCCGAGCTGATCCCCACCCACAGCTAGTGATGGGAAAGACCGGGCACACGCCGACACGGAGGTGCCTGGCTGCCCGACCGGGGACAGGGATGTTTTTCTTCAGATCCGAGTTTTGCTGCTTCCCTGGTGGCAGGAATGCTGCTAAATAACACACCGGCAGCCTCCGAAAGCAGCTTAATGACCGAATAATGCACAGATTTGAATATGGGGGGGGAGGACCTGCATATTTTCCATGCCCTACCAGAGGGTTTGGCTGTGAAGATGTGCACTGGTGCTCTCAGCCAGCTTCGGTGTCCCCCGCCACATGCCCTGCTTTGCAAAGACGCAGGCAGAAATGCCTGAGCGTAACAGGCACGCCGGGGCTGGCTGGAGCGTGCCAACGCGTGCAAGCACGTAGCATGCGCACCCCGGGCTGCGTCCATGCCGCCCCGCCGGACAGGGCTGCCTCGGCCCCGCCGTCTCCTTATGCGTGAACGCGGCCTGCGCGCCAGGACCCCTGCCAGCGTCCCTGCGGGTAACCCCAAAGGGATGGATGGAAGGGCTGCCTGCTTTAAATGCACACGCATGCATGTGAGCTTTGCCAGGGGGTGGCTCTCGGCGTGTCACCTGAGCTACGTCCTTCCCGGGACTCGACAGCCAACCTGCCCGCGGCCCAGCAGTTCGCCTGGGTACGGGAGCCTGCCCCCTTCCCCGTGAGTTGTGACACCGCCGCCCCCGGACCGAGCAAAGGTCAAGCGCTCTGGACCTGACTCGCCGCCTGCTACTGCCCTGAGGAGGAGGAGAGGAACACTGATGAAGGACAATCCCAGAGTCCCCTTAGATGCTGGTCTGCAGATCCCCATTGAGGAGGGTCCTTTGGGTTTCCGTGGTCTCGTTTAGCCTAGATTTATCCTGCTTGCTGTCGCTCCTGTCCGCATCGTCCATGCCACTGACCTTCACCAGGCAGAGGACGTTCTGAAAGCTCTTCTTGAAGTTGTCGGACAGGAAGGCGTAGAGGATGGGGTTGGCGCAGCTGTTGGCGTAGCTGAGGACCACGACGAAGTCGAACATGCCCTTGAGGGCGGGCGTGGGCACGATCAGGACGGAGACGGAGGAGACGTTGAAGATGTAGAAGGGGAGCCAGCAGAAGATGAAGACGGCGACCACGATGGAGACCATCCGGGTGACCTTCTTCTCGGACTTTTTCCTTTTGGAGGAGCCCACTCGGATGCCGGAGGACTTGACCTTGATGATGATGAATAAGTAGCAGAGGCAGATGATGGTGAGGGGCACGAGGAAGCCCAGGATGAAGGCGTAGATGATGAAGCCCGTGTACCACGCGCCCGACTCGTCCGGCCAGATGATGGTGCAGCTGCTGCGCCCGTGGTTGCTCTGCACCCCGGCGTAGATCATGATGGGCATGATGACCAACAGCGAGAGCCCCCACACGGCCGCGTTGACCATTTTGGCCGTCCTCGGCCGCCTCCACTTGGCGGACTTGATGGGGTGGACCACGGCCAGGTACCGGTCGACGCTCATGACGGTGAGGCAGAAGATGCTGGTGAACTGGTTGATCCCGTCCACCGTCATGACCACCCGGCAGATGGCTTTGCCGAAGGGCCAGTGGACCAGCGCCACTTGCATGGCCAGGAACGGCAGCCCCAGCATGAAGAGCTCGTCGGCGATGGCCAGGTTGAGGATGTAGATGTTGGTGATGGTCTTCATCTTGGCGTAGCGGAGGATGACGTAGATCACCAGGGTGTTGCCGCAGAGCCCCACGATGCACACGGCGAAGTAGATGAGGGTGAGCACGGCGTTGCTGGTCAGGTCGAAGTGGTCGTGCGTGCCGTTGCGGGAGGCGTTGGCGGGCGCCTCGGCGGCCAGGTGGTGCGAGGGCGAGGCCGAGGCCGAGGAGTACCAGAACCGGGTGCTGTTGGGCAGGTCCGGCTCCCCGTCCATGGCTCCGTCCCGCCCGGCCGCCCGCCCGC